AAAATCTACAAGAAATGTCATACACATCAAAGGCATTCGAACAAATACGAAAAACGAGCATAAAACAACATGCAAACAACGAGCGCACACTTAGAAAATCCATGATAAATATATTTAACAAAAGCGGGCACCAGCCCAGTAGTCAATAGTACAAAAACGAGCACGCAGGCCCAAAGCAAAAGATAAACACCGGCACGCAGGCCACAAAACAACGAGCACGCAGGCCCGGCAACCTACACTTCCTCATCAGCTCGGTCAGCAGCCACGGTTTCCTCGTCGGGGATAACGAAATAAGGATCGATCACCCTCCCATCAACGATCTCGTGGTACGGCCCTATCCCGTCCACGACCAGCTCGACACCAGGGTTGGCGACCTGAATCTGCTCGACCGCATTCTTGAACCCAACCTCAACGGCTTCCAGACAATCGCTCTCCAACACCCGGATACGGGCGATCAAGTCAGCACGGGTGATTAAACGCCGATCCCCCTCAGTCTCGTCCTCGGCCGGACGAACAGCGCTGTCCAGAACCTCAGTACGAACCTTCAGCGCCTGCACCTCGGCCGTCGCCATCCCCAGCTTCTCTTCCAGCGAACTCACCTTCCCCTCAGCACCCTCTGCTCGTTTCCGCTCCTCGGCAACGTCCTTCTGGCTCTTCTCCAACTCCTCGGTGAGCTTGGCCAACCGCGACTGCGTAAAGGTGAGATCCCCTTGCAGTTTGGACAGCTCAGCAGCAGAGCAGCCCTCCTCGTTCAGCACGAGAGCCGTCGTAAACGTCCGCATCATCGCGGCCAAGTCCTCAGCCAGGACACGCCGACGGGCCTCCCGGTCAGCCTGGCGAACAGCCTTCACCTCCCCGGCGGAAACGGTGGGGGAACGGGCACCATGGAAATACCCCGGGTGCTGGTGGCAGGGAGGGACGACATAACCTTCCTCGACGGCGCCGACCGTCAGATCCACCACCCGAGGCTCCTCGGACCTCTGCCTCTTCGACACTCCTTGGGACACAGGGGATTGGCTCTCTTGAGGCGACGAGGACGAAGTTTGGCCCCCCTGCGTCGCGACCTCCTGACTGACCAGCTGACTCACCCTCGTCCTCGGGACCCCGGCACTCCTGGCAGCACGCAACTGTTTCACCCGCTCGTCGACAGTAGACATGTTCGCTGCAAAAACAAAGAAATAGGTTAGCGACGATCAAAAACCCCGACAACGAGGGAAAACGAAACATCCCTACCTAGATAATCTAGAGCGGCCGCCCCGGTCGCACAGCCGAGCAAAGTCTTAGTATTTATCAAACGCTTTTTAGTGCGTACGTTCCCCTGGGCATCGAGGATGTACCGACCATCGGGCGTCACCAGCTTCGACGGGGGAAGTGACCGCACAAAAGCAATTATTTTCAGATAAGCGGCCATGTCCTTCTCCTCGAGGGTTCCCGCCCGGACGATATACCTATCCGTCCCTCGACTGAAATGCTCCGAGGTCCACAGCAGATGTATCCTGGGAAGCCACGCTCGGAACCACTGGCCATCTACCGTGCGCTCGCCCTCGTCAAAGAGAGTGTCCGAGCCGTGCTGCGTGATCGGTTTGACGAGGTAGAACCGACCCTTGAAGTCTTTGACAGAATCACTGTACGCTTTAAAAATTTTGGTCGATTGTTTGAAAGAGACCCATCCATGACGACCTCGCACCGTCTGCCGCTGCAGATGAAAGATGCGAAAGAACAACGGCACCGTCGGCTCCACCGAGAGGTAGAAACACACCACCTCGAAAGCCCGGATGAAAGCCAGAGCGTTCGGGTGCAGCTGAGACGGGGCAAGACGCAGCCAGTCAAAAATCCCCAGATGGAAGGCAGAGAACGGCAACCGGAGCCGAGCTTCTTTAAAATAAAATTCATACATCGGGAACATCTTCCGCCCATAGCGCGAACAGATCCGATGGTGCGCTTTCGGGCGATACACCTGCCAGTGTTGCGTTTCTCCTAACGGCGTGTCCTCGACCGTGGCATACACGTCGGACGGATCGACCACAAAACAAGAAGGGATGGTAAGTGGCTCCTCGGCCGCCCACTCCTCGGGCAAGGAGACGCGCCCGTCGTCATACTCCGGGACCTCGGGTTCATCATCTTCAACCATTATCCCCGGCACCAGAGCCGACATCTACACCTGAAAGCAGAGGACCTCGGTGAATTCGATAGCCAGGATCAAATCCACCCTTCCACCGCAAGTCAAGTGAAAGGGCGACAAAGGCCGAGGGGCGGCGAGCATTCGCTCCCCGCCTACCCTCCTCGGGGATCGAAGAACGACCCCTCAGCCCTTCGGGGCGGCCGTCGGAGAAGATACTTCTCCCTGGGGCATTCATCGGAGAAAAGCCCCCGTCCTCGGGGCATTCATCAGAAAAAGCCCCCGTCCTCGGGGCATTCATCGGAGAAAAGCCCCCGTCCTCGGGGCATTCATCAGAAAAAGCTCCTGTCCCCGGGGCATTCATCGGAACTAGCCTACCGTCCCCGGGACGTTCATCGGAAGACTCGCCAGACGCGGCGGAACTCGCATCCCTCCTCGGGGCGCTCATCGCGCCCCGACCACACGTCCCAGTTAGACGACGAAAATAAAAGAGAGGGAGAAGAGAAACTCACTTGTAACGGCGGCGGACGGAAGAAAAAGCGAATGGCACGGCGTTGATCGGCGGCGAACGGCGGACGGGCAGCGACGATGAAAGATCAACAGGGAGAAAAGTAGCAGAATGAGCGGGGACCGCCATATTTATAACCCGGCGCGAGGCTCGAAGCGACCCTAGGCTCATTAATGACATAGGTTAGCCGCCCCTACGACCGCTCAACGCAAGACACGTGGAAGCAGCCTGACAGTCGCGTCTCTCCATCTGCCTCCTCCCCGTTCTACCGACGACCGGAGCCCTTCGCACGAGTCCCCCGCTCCAGACATGACGACCTTAAGTCCTCGCTCTTCCCCAGAGCTTCGACTTGGGGGGCTCCTGTTCCGGCGTGGGCCTCACCTCGGCAGGCCCAATACCAAATACGGCCCAACAGGCGAACTGAGCATACCTGGCACACGCCCTTCGGACGAGCAGGACCGTCAGCCGGGCACAAGCCATCACGCCGCATCCCCTTCGTCGTCCGTCACACCAGACGAGCGAGACGACCCGGGCTCCCTCCGCGGGAGAATAACGTGCTCGGCGCACGTTCTCCACGTGCTCCCCTCCGCGGGGACACGTCATCGGCCAACCGCCCACCTCCGAAAGAGCAGGTCAAACCCACTTTCCGGAGACCTAGGAGCGGTTGAACTAGGGCGAAGACCACATCCTGGTCTTCACTACGCCACGTAAGCCCTAGCAGTCATTAGGGTTGGGCCTGGTCGTCTGGCCCACCTCGAATGACCGTTGGCCCAGCGCTGGGGTCTCTCTATAAATACCCTCTTCTTCAAGAGGGTCAGGTAACTCTTCTTGCCCCCCTTTCTGTACTATTGCTCCCTCTCTGTCCAACTTCTTACTTGGGCGTCGGAGTGCTTTGCAGGTACACCCCCTCCTCGTTCTTACCTCGGCAAACAGATAACCGTCCGGCGAAGCGTGGCCAGTCCGTGATCCCTCCTGATCAGGTCAGCTTCTCTTAATTTTTAAATTGTTTTTTTCAATATAAATTTGCTTCTCTTAACTTGTGCCCTTAGCATTACCCATACCCATAATTTTAATAAGTTTAATACATTAAACTTTTTTAATTCTGTAATTTAGTCAAATTTTATATATTTAGAAAGGGAAATGTAGTGCTTTTCAGAAGATACGAAACAAATTCAATAAATTCATTAATCAATTTTATCTATATACTTAAAAAAAACACTCAAAAGCATCCGGTTTATTTTTCAAAAAAAAACAAATAGATTCTTAGTGATGGAACCAAATTTAAAAATATGGTATACCGATTTCAAAAGTTTATATTATTTGTTTTTAAAATTAGTCCAAATTCATTTTACTAAAATCATTATAAACCGATGTCCAAAATCATAAATGACAATTAAGGTAATGTATATGTAATAAATAAAACTTATATTAATTACTTTTTTTAAAAAACTGTGTTCTCATAGTCTCATAATAATGCATTTAGTCTTTCATCTCACATTTTAAATGCTTATTATCAGATTGAAATTATATGATTACTAAGTCGTTTTTGTATGTTTCTTACCTTGAATTAATTCAATTATTAAACTAATATATTTTTTCTTAAAAATATTTTTCACTAAAGTGATGACAGATAGAGTCAGAAAAATGATAACTGTAAAATAATATATAGAGTATTTTTTTGAAAAGGTGAAAAAAAGATATTTTTATATAAATGAGAGAAATTTATATGTATGTGAGAGAGATTGAGTATTTTGTAATTACTCAATTTTGATTTTTTTTTACGATTTTTTAGCTTTTTTTTTTCATAATTAATACTAATTATTTCAATTCAATTTAATTTATTGTCAATGAATGGTTTTTTTTTATATTGTCAATTCAATATAAAACTGATTTTTTTTATAAAATTGGTTTTAAAACTAATTTCTTTAAAGAAAATAAAAAACTGGTTTTGAGAGAAATCGGTTTAAAACTGGTTTTTAAAAAAATTGTTTTTTTTTTTTTAAATCAATTTGAAACTAAACCAATTCACTTGTAAACCGGTTTTAAAAAATAAACCGGTTTTATATAAACGGTTTTAAGATCCAAATCAAACCATATATGTGATTTGGTTTGGTTTATAATCCATGCACACCCTTAGATAGGTATGATAAAAAGTCATGAATTTATATAGGAAAGATATGTTCATTCATTTTGGGGAATTTATGGAGCCAGGAAGTGTATACATGCATATACAGCTTTTATGACAGAAGATTAAAAAGTGGACGCATTCAGCTTAAGTTACATTTGACAGTGTATATTAAAGCCAACCAAAAACATATTCAACAATTCTATCTATCAAAATTCCCTAAAACAGATTCATTCACTTGAAACAGAATGGCCAAAAAATATGAGGGACCTGCTATTGGAATCGACCTTGGCACGACTTATTCATGTGTTGCTGTATGGCAAGAGCAAAACAACCGAGCAGAGATTATCCACAATGAACAAGGAAACAGAATCACACCTTCTTTTGTTGCTTTTACTGATTCTCAAAGGTTGATTGGCGATGCTGCTAAAAACCAAGCTGCTTCAAATCCAGCCAACACTATATTTGGTAATTTATCTTCTTTTAGTTCTGCATATATATGGTTTATAAATTAATTAATTTGTTTATTAATACTTCTCTGTAATGTTTTGAATAGAAAAGAATAAATTATACGTCACCTACAATTTTGTTGATGCAGATGCAAAGAGGTTAATTGGAAGGAAATACAGTGATATCACTATTCAGAATGATTTACTGTTGTGGCCCTTTAAGGTCATTGGTTTTAATGACAACCCAATGATCCTTGTTAATTACAGAGGTGAAGAAAAAAGCTTTTCACCAGAGGAAATATCATCTATGATCCTCACGAAAATGCGGGAGGTCGCAGAGAAATTTTTGGAGACACCTATTAAAAATGCAGTGGTTACAGTTCCAGCCTATTTCAACGATTCTCAGCGAAAAGCCACCATAGATGCTGGTACCATTGCAGGCTTGAACGTAATGCGGATAATCAATGAACCAACTGCTGCTGCCCTTGCATATGGCCGCCTTCAAAAAATACCTCATTGTGTTGAAGATAGAAACGTTTTCATCTTTGATCTTGGTGGTGGAACTTTTGATGCATCTCTCCTCAGAATTAAGAATAATGTATTTCATGTTAAGGCTGTTGCTGGAGACACTCACCTCGGAGGAGAGGACTTTGACAACATAATGATGAATCACTTCGTAGAGGAGATCAAGAGGAAGAACAAAGTGGACATAAGTGGAAACCCAGGATCTTTGAGGAGGCTACGAACTAGCTGCAAGAGGGCGAAAAGGATCCTTTCTTTTTCCGAGAATTGAGTTATCTTCATCTATCACTCGAGCAAAGTTTGAGATGATCAACATAGACCTCTTTGAAAAGTGTATGGAGATCGTCAGGAGATGCTTTGTGGATTCTGGATCGGACAAAAGTAGTGTAGATGATGTGGTCCTTATTGGTGGCTCGTCCTGAATCCCCAAATTGCAACAACTATTGCAGGATTTTTTTAATGTGAATGATTTGTGCATGAGCATCAACCCTGATGAAGCAGTGGCTTATGGTGCAGCTGTCCAGGCAGCTATGTTAAATGTCAAGTATGTTCCAACCTTAAAGTTGCGAGATGTCATACCCTTGTCTCTTGGTACATCAGAAAAAGGAGATATCATGGATATCATGATTCCTAGGAACACTTCCATTCCTATCACTAAGAAGAAAACATATTTTACAGATGTAGATAACCAAAGTAGAGTTTCAATTAAGGTTTATGAGGGTGAGAGAATAATAGCTAGTGAGAACAACTTGCTTGGTGTGTTTTCTCTCTCACTTCCTTTTGCACCACGCGGTCTTCCTATCCAAGTATACTTTGCAATAGATGCAGATGGTATATTAAACTTGTCTGCAGAGGAAGAAACCAGTGGTAATAAGAAAAATATTACAATAACTAATGAAACAGAAAGCCTATCAACTGAAGAACCTGAGAGAATGATTCAAGAAGCTGAGAATTTTAAGGCTGAAGAGAAGAAACTTGAGGAGAAAGTTAAAGCAATAAATGATTTGAATGATTATCTTTGCCATGTGACGAAAGTAATTGCTGATAATGATGTTAATTCTTTGATTTCCCCTGTTGACAAATTGAAGATCTATATTGCAGTTGTGAAAGGCCAAAATTTGCTGGATGGCAAAAAGGACGAAGAAACACATGTCTTTGTGGATTTTCTAAAGGAATTTCAGAGCATGATTGATTCTGCTTTGTACAAGATCACTAGTGGAGTTTGAAGCTTTAGTACTAATTAAATGAAGTATTTGAGTCTATTCAAGAAGTAAGCTCCTTGATAATGGAACAACTTGTCTGAAAATGATCTGACACTCAAAAGTGAGTGAAAACTGATAACCACATCTCGCATGGTTTGTGTTCTAAACTTTTTTATAAAATTGAACTACTGTCTTTGGCTTAGTACTCTTGTACACCCTTCAAGTAGTCATAGGAATTAAGAACAATGAGGAAGAAAATAAATGTACTTTCAATCAACTTGTCCGACACAGTATGACACATTAGATGGAGTAGTATTTATTCCATTCCATCACATGATACCAGTTTTCTTCTCCTTCAATTTGGGTAGAATGATAAATTTGTTATGCTCCATCGTAAAATATTCAAACAATATAACAAAATCTCTATTTTATTTCATTACAATCTTTTTTTTTAAGATAAACAAAGTTTTGGAGGAGTAAGGGGAAGAAGGTAGAAGGAAAATTAAAAAATCTTTTACATTTTTGAGATTCTATTTTCATACAGAATGATAAATGTATATTTATCATTAATATATTTTAAGTTTTGAAAGTATTATAACAACATATGTTAGATTTGAACAGTTTATTAAAACCCTCCAAAATTCTCATTCAATACAACGTTTAGTTCTCTGATTTTTGAAGAATTTTGTATTAGGAAGAAAAAAACAGTCGTCTATTCAAATTAGAGGATTATCAGTTCTTTCATTTTCATTTCTTCCTTTTACCTAAAGCTCTCTCCTCTCTAATTCAAACTCACAAACAGCCTAGTGGAAACACTCATGTGCTTTAAATTGATAAGTAATTCTTTTATTTACTTTTTCTTTGGTTCTAGATGCATTAGTGTAGCTTCTGTTACTGATATACAATAAAATATAACATTTCATGGGTGGAAAAAAAGTAATTGAAAAAGAAAATCGGTGCTCCAAAATAAAGGACAAAAAAAGGTTACAAACAGAATGATAAGTATTAAAACATAACAAGAGTTATCAACAATAGCAAACAAATTCCATCAAAATGCATACAAATGCTTTATTGAATTATTGGCAAAATAGAGAAATTGTTTGAAAGAAACGTACCTCGTAGAAAACATGAGAAATCATGAAATCAAGGAAACTTGCAGAAACTGTCGCAACCTGCATTGTAAAAAAGTAACACTGGTTTGAAGAGGAAATATGGTGAACAGACCAAAAAAAAACATAAGAACAAAATAGTTCTGCCAAGTTATTGATAAAACTCTGTTAAGTCAAGGCAAATTTTTTAGCCAAAATAGATTTATTTGGAAGCAATTTTTTGTAATAAGCTTACAGCTTTTAATTACTAGTTTATTGCATTTATTGATAAAATATTTCAAACATTTTGAAGTTTAACATTTGTATCTCAATTTTATCCTTATTACTTTATTGGAAAAAAAATCATTATTTCAAAATATCTTTTTATGTCATTTCATATTTTGCAATTAGCTCAGCCACTAATTTTACCAAACCCTACAAATTCAATTATGAGATGTCTCACATTTTTACATTTTACCAAACAGAAGCTGACCTGAGGTTGGATAGAAATACGTTTTTTTATAGAACATTATGACGTAGTTTGATCCATGTAGCCAACCTCACTTAGTGGATAAGGCTTTGTTGTTGTTGTAACAACAGCGCCTAAGAAAAGAAAATTTAACTACCATATAGTTTGAACTACTTTTAAGCCCCCTTATATAAGTTCATTCACAGTAAAAAAGGACAGGAGAAGCATATTTTTCCCACTTCTTTTATATGCCTACAACATTCGAATGAGGAAAAATATACCATAAAACATACAAAAAATATGCCACACGTGTATGGATATAAGTAAAAGATTTCCTGAGTTGTTTCTATGTACCTTCAAATATGAATCTGGAATATGCGGTCAACATGAAACACAAAACTATCATGTCAAATACACTTGCACAAAATAGAACATGGTGATATAGAATAGTAATAATCTATGTAGTTCTGAACTCCAACGGTTACACATCAATATGATGTTCTGCAACAATGCTCACCACCCCCACTAAAGCCTTGTCCTCTGCGTATCTGCAACAACATTGAAAAACAAAGATGAGAGAGAAGCAAAACATTTAAAAATTCATATTTCCCACTATTGGAACACAGCATCTCTTTTCCACAATCAGAGCTCTCTTCAACACCAAAATGATGAGGTGGCGTGTATGGTCTCACAAAGGATAAACTGGAAAACGGAAATGTTATGCAGAAGGAAAAACTGTTTGTTTGAAATTTGAAATTTTTAACCGGATACATAAAAGGCATCGCTGTAAAGTAAGAATAAGAAACAAATAAACTAATATAATAAAACAATTATATAAGAAAATACAGGAGAAAAATATAAATTTTACATAGGCAACAGAGCAGGAAATTTTGAGGCAGAGAAGCGAACATGTGTGCAACAGGGACCCAACTTTCTCATAATAGATAGATGTGACTAGGAGAAATTGTTGTCTGTTGCAAGTCAGTTGCACTTCCATCTAATCCATTCTAAAGAAAATAATCCAATTACAAATTACAAGTGAAGGTATAGCAACATAAAACCAGAACATAACAAAGTTCTGGTTGATGCTAAAATAATTCTAATCATATATATGATAATTAAGATTGGGCAAGAGCAGTATATTTCTTTGAACTTTGACAAAACACAGTGCATTTAGATGTTCAACACTGGAAAATTTGTGACATCATAAGGATGGTTTCAGGTTCTGAATTGCAAAACCATAGCCGGCTTTTGAGTTGCAGGCCATTCACAAACTCTCTTATAATGCTATCATAACTGGGATCCATCACTCTGCTAGATACTGTATCTATACTCCTGTGACTTGTTCAAGAACTTTGACCTTGGACATATTCAATTAAAGCTTCTGGTTTGTGTGGTCTGTGAAAAATGCGAAGGTCAACTGTTAGCCTATAGAATAGGAATATTGAATGTGAAACAGAGTAAATTTACTTTTCAGTAGCTAGTTTTCCTAGCAGGAATGGATTTTATATTAACAGACATTTAACATTACATAATTACAAATTTTTCATCCCAAATAATATGGATAATAATGATATGTTAGCCCTGAATTATTGTAAAATCTGTCTTTTAGCAATATAACTATTGTACAATCATGGCCATAGCAATATAATTTCTTTTTACTATTGTTAATAGAAATATGCATTCGTACTTTTAGTCTATTAGTCCGACTCATTAAGTTAGAATAGTTTATATAAAGATATTAGTGTCTGTACATTAATCACACTTGAAATATATATTATTCAATTTTCACGGCTTCTCTTATGATTTTTCACTCTTTCTCTGCTTTTAGTTATTTGACTATCCTCCATTTGATTTACTCTCCTTGCTACATAATCTACAAGTCATCTCTCTACACACAAAAAATAGAAGGATCGTAAAAATTTGTTTCAATTCAGAAGCGTAAGCCAATGTTTTCTCTTTAGAAGGATATGTATATCTATTTCTTGAAAATATATATTAAGTATGAAACACGTTAATATTGCAATTTTAATAGAAGACAGGGTATAATGGTACAGATATTTTGTTGGCTGAACCATAAATGGGAGGGCCTTGACATTTCCGTATTTGAAAGGAAAGGTTGTGAATTTGAAAATAAGAAAATGCAACTGATGCCAGCTAGATAGAATAAGAAACTAACAAAATGATAACCATCCAATGGATTACAGTCCTCAAGTAGTTGCAACTTGAATTTGGTTGTTTTTCCATAGGATCCTATCCCCTTTGGCTTTATGATAATTACCTGAATATAATAACTTTTTGAACCAACAAAATGCTTTAAAATTCTTCTAATTGTGATCCAATCTGAAATCCATCATAAGAAATACAACAGGAGATGAGAAAAAATAAACCACTGCGTCAAAATCCGTGGCTACTGCTACATGCATTCATTTCAGCTATAGAGTCTCTAAAGCTTTATAGTTTAATGTGATTTGCTGATTGTCAGCCAGATATGGATACCAATTGACATAGGAAGTGATACAATTTTCTGCCTGACAACATGTTAAGGTGCTGTCAGTGTTGATTCATATCTGAGTCTACACCAATATCTTTAGTAATTAGTGGTTTTGGTCTCATTTGAAAATCAAATCATCCAGTTATTATGTTCGAAATTTGAATGTCAACTCAATTCCTGTGATTTCTAGTACTTTTCTAACGATGAATTAGATTCTAATAAGACAAAGGCGGTGAACCTAATAACATGTTCAGCCTTTGTGACATGACGGGACTGATATTTCTTGTTGATATTTGTAAATATAGTGTTAAGAATATTTGTATATAGAATAGTCTCACATCGACTATATCATGCAATTAGTTGTAATCTCTCTCTATATAATAATGTTTCCGTATTGCTTTTCAAAACACACGGTTTATTCATATGTCTCTTAGTCTCTTGTATTTCAACATTTCTCTTCAAATGTATCAGTATGGCCGAATATAGTTCAACTATTTCTAACTCTTATCTTGAAAATGACATCTCTTTAGAAACAAAGTGTTCATAGAATACTGCACAAACAGAATAGAAATAGGTTATCGCTATTCCTAAACTTCAGGTATTGATTATTATGGAGTGAGTTGTTTTGATTACCAAAGCTAGTTTTCATCTTTGAAACAAAATTAATATGTTATTCATAAGTTATAAATAACATAACAAAATAAGAATAGCCTATACATCCAAAGCAAATTATCACTTATGATTGCATTAACAAGTATTAGCTCTAATCATAAATGCATGCTGTAAACATCCGCAACATAGCATTTACCAAAAAAACACCAAAGTGGCCCTTTTGTTGGTAAGGATGGCTTAATGCATAAAGTTATTTGAAGTTCACCACTGCTTAACTCGGTCGGAGTTTAATTAAAAACAAGAAACTACCAGCAAAGCAAGTGAAGTTTAAAAAAAATATATTTCAATGCTCACCATGAAA